GCAGAAGATGCTACTGGAGTCCCTGATGTTTGGTCATTTTCAATGTCAATAACTAAGCTACAATGGTTCTCCCACACCTGGAAGCTAATGAGTAATGAGCGCCATTAAGGCCTATTTCAAATGTAAAAACCTTGAGATAATGTACTAAATTGTTCAGAAGGTTGTTTTCTTAGTGGAATACTACAGGATTTTCTTTAACTTGATTTCCTGAGTTCCTGCCTTCGTCCCATTGACAGTGAGGACGGTGAGGACGAGGGTGGGAGAATTTCCAGTGTTGCTGAGAACTGGATGAGACTTCAGATCAAGCTAGCTGTCTGCAGAACTTGCCTGTGATTTAAGCTAGCTGCCTGCAGAACTTACCTGGGCTATGATTTACCTGGACTGTGAGTTAATCTATTAAGACACTGCTTTACCTGGACTGAGACAACAAACTGTAATCTACAACAAATTGTAACTCGATATCTTTGCTGACGGTGTCATTGCTGGTATAATTTTTCCAAGGACTTCTTGCATGGAGCCATCAATTGGCTTGGTATTGTGGCATTTTGTATCCTCCCCTTCTGCTTGTAGCAGATTATTGATGGTGTTTGTGTAAAAACCACTATGGTCGTTATTTAAGTTAAACAAAAGGGGGAAATGTTAGGGTCTGTAAACAAGTCAGGATGGCGCCTGGCATTTTGCCAGAGGGAGTGGTTTGTGAAGTAACGCCAGCAAGCCATTCAGTGTGGAGATTCCTTATTGCTGTATCGAGTTTATGTTAATTAAGATAAGCTGTGTGGAATGTATAAATACCCCTCCTGTCCTACAATAAATGGCTCCCACTCCTGCTGTATCGAGCTACAAAAGTTTCTTGTCACGCCCCGGTTATTTTGCTGCAGCCAGACTGTGGCAGGAGTACATAGTCTATTTACGTTTGCTGTAAATGCTGAGAAACATCAGAAATTATATTCATTTTCTAGGGCTGCCACAAATAGTATGTAAACTGGATGACTTAGACCATAGATGTCGGTTTTCTCACATTCTAGAGACTAGAAGTCTGAGGTCGAGGTGTTGGAAGAGTTGACTTCTCCTAAGTCACCTCCTCTCCTTGGCTTCAAGGTGTCCATCTTCTCCCTCTGTCTTCCCATGGTTTCTCTTCTGAGTCGTGGTGTCTGGCATCCTCTCATTATAGAGAGACAAGTCGTATTGGATCAGGGCTCACCCCAATGATCGTATTTCATCTTTATTACTCCTTTAAAGACCCTATCCCATTCTTAGATATTGAGAGTTAGAACTTCAACGTATGAATTGGGGGGACACAATTCAGCCTATAATAGTAGTAAATATGCCATAAACTGGATTAAACTACCACCTATCAGGTGCTGTCTATTTGTTCCACATATTCCTTTTTTGTCTTTTTTTAACCTTGTTTTGGATTGGCATTTTTTTTATTATCCATCTTTTTTTCTAATAGCATGAAATCCTACATGCATTGACTACTCATATAGAATTTTTTGAGAAATTACAACAGGTACCCTTGACTTACTAAAGCATAACATTAGTTGATGCCTTTATCCCTTCTGGACAATACAAAGACTTCAGGACACCTTCTATATTTTTTTAATCTTATGTTTTTGCAGGCCTATATTTTAGTTCAAAATTGTTTTCAACCCCACAATGCATTATTATTGCTTATACAATCAGTTTTGATTTACACTTATTCCCATTTTTTCCCTAGAAACAATTCTCTTCTTCACTTATTTTTCTGTCTTTATGCAATATGTAAAAACAGGTGTGTTTATCCTCTAGTGAGATGGATAGGGACAAGACTGAAGTTCCCAATTCTTTCTAAAGTTTTAAGAAAGGAAATGCAAATGAAATGTTGGTATTAGGAAGTAAGTCTGGAAAGAGGCAAGTTATTAGAACACTCCTTAAAGACATACTTCCACCCTACAAGATGACACTGGTTAATTTTTATGATGTTTATTTTGCTGTGTTGGTAGAAGAAAGGTTGATGGTTAGCTGGGTCATGTAATAGCAACTGAACTCAGAAGTTTGTAGACACCTGTCATTCCCAAATCTAGGTTCCTGGATTCAAAGGAGCTCATAAAAATCAGAGTAGAGGCCCAGTAATCACACTAGTGACAGCAGAGTGCAGGTCCTCCGTATTTATGAATTCTGAAATGATAAGATTCAGCTTCTAGCATTGTAAATAGTGTCAGCCCCTGCTCATGGGCTTGTGAAAACCTGTCAAGAGCTTTGCAACTTGTGAATATTCAGTCTCCATTAATGTAAATGAGCTGCATGTTGAGGGCAAAAATATCCCTTCCTC